TTTTTTTGTTTTCCTTTTGTGTAGTAACCTTGGCCTCACCGAGAAGCAGCGGGAGATTGGCCTTCTTGAGGCCTGCGTTTACCAGCTTGCAGAACTGCTCAACAGCCACCGTGACGCCACCGTTGAGAACGTACAGCGGCGACAGGCGCGTTCTGTGGCTGAGCGTGAGGAGGACGACAGCGATACGGAGCATGTTCCGGGCGCTGGGGGCGAGGGTGGCGATGACAAAGCGGCTGAGGAGGATGAAGACGATATTCCCTACAATCCTAAGAACCTACCACTTGGTTGGGATGGAAAGGTAAGCTTGTTGCGTTTTTCATATCTCAGTCTGTCAGCTTCATCATGCTATTCACCGTTTGCCTACCGCCACCAGCAACTTCGTAGTAGCCGTGCTCTGTGTCATCGTTTTTATGTTTGCATGCCTTCACGCTCATTGCCTTTCTATTATTCTCCCTCATCGTCGCCGTTTCCTTTCCTGGTGGGCTGGTTTATTCGCTTACTTGTATCCCCTATCGGCTGGTAGTGATATATGTTTTCCTCCCACAATACGATTTACCTCTATGATAGGGTTGAATCAGTCCTGTGCTAGTTTATATTTTCATCTCGCTTTAAGTAGCAAATTTATTCCTTGAAAAAAGCGGTACGTTTATGTTGGCCTTCTGCAGCGGGCAGTGTCCAGGAAACATCCCTCTGGTAGACCGAAATGTCAAGGGTGAATATGGGTCTGGTTACGTAAGAAGTGCACAATTGTATCTCCTATTTCACAGGAATTGGCGCTAACTAGTTCTGAAGTTTAGTAGACCGGCTTGGAAACGCTATGATCTGAAATGTTTCTCTATTTAACACAGGAGTTTTGCTTTTATTATGCTAAACGAAAGTAGGCATATACAGGATGTTCCAAACATACAGACAAATGTATCCGGTAAAGCAAAGGGAGACCGGAATGGCTTATTAGCCAGAATCACCCGGATCACCCGCGATTCGAACCCAGTTTTAGCATTGCACCGCGCGCTCGTTGCATTGTCGTTTGAGCCCGCGAATAATATAAATACCTGGGATCGCCGATCTATTAATGGAATAATGTATGTTTTGGTTTTGCTCCGGACCTCACTTTAGAGCCCGCGCAGGCGGTCGCATAGTGATTAGTAGGGCAGGATGAAACGGATCCGACAAAGTAATAACCAAAGTTCCCGAATTCTAATCCCGAGTGATACGCACCTGAGATTAGGTATGACTGGCTGATGATGGCCAATGAGCCAGAAATGGCCATTCCACTCTCCCTTTTCTTTGTCAAATCCATTTCATCCTATCCTACTAGTCGCTATGTAACTGCCTGCACGGGCTCTAAAGTGAGTCCCAGGGCAAAACCCAAACGTACATTGTTCCATTACTTGATCAGCCATCCCCACATATTCATACACACACATATCTGCACAGTTAATGGCTCAATTAATATTCCTTGCTCTTCGCATTTACCGCTTTGGAATAACTAATGACAGCCAGACTAAACTTTGAACACTCGGAATTGTATTTTCAGTAAGAGATAGGGAATCTCGGGTAATCAGCCGAAAATGGCCACCCAAATCTCCCTGCTTTCTGTTGGTATTCGTTGTCCGCATAGATTACTAGTCGCTGTGCGAGTGCCTACGGGCCTCTAAACCGAGCCCCTAAGCACCACAAGATGAGTAGGTTCCGTAACGCGATTGGTGAGTTCCCTATAGCATGCATGTGCGTGTGTGAAACTGGAGCAGTTTACATGCCGTTATGTAGAGGAGGCTCTTCGGGTCATGGGTGCCATTCCCTTGAACCTCCTGTGACGAGGACGAATTAGGGACATCTTTGAAGATTAGAGTTCGATTTTCAGAAAACTGGGCACTCCCACATAGAAGTGCTAACTTCATATCTAACCGTGACAAGTTGGTGAATTAAACGAAGATGTTTCATCGAATACCTTCGCATTGACCAGACCTCACACTCCTGCCCTTCTAGTGGCTCCGCTGAAGGTCTACGTCACAACGCCGGCAATAGTTTTTGAATCGCAAGTGGCTACTGAACAGACAATGAGTAGGTTGACTATCTTATGAAATGTCAATCGAAATTCCGAAACCTGTTTTGAGTCGAAAAAAGTACTTAAGTACAGTTATAATACTTGATATCGTGCAGCTTAATACCAACATATTTAGTTTACTGTAAGATGCCGGCTTTTGCGTGAACTTCTTACCAGCCGCCTGCAAACACAACACTAAAAAGATGACCCAAGTAGTAAGTATAAGAGGGGAGTACTTAAGTAGAATGCATTTTTTGCCAATTATTTTTGATGACGTTGTAAATTAAAATATATTTTACAGAAAAAAGCATAACATATTCTTTCTTGTACTGATTTTGTAGCAAATTTCGTCTTTTTAAGGCCTTGTATTTAAAGAAAGTGTATCTTTCGGTTCTAAAACAGTTTCTAATTATCAGATTATATAAGACCCGAGCCCGTGGTAGAGTGTTAAACTCAATGACCAAAGGTCCCGGGTTCGAATCTCGGGGTTCCAACCAGCGCGAAATTCCCACTGGTTCAGTAGAGAACGTCTATTCACCAACAAGAACAGTATACAACTCCTATTGGTTGGATAAGTGGAAAATTCGACCCTGAGCTAGGTGGGGGAATTTATTTTCAGGCGGCCTCACAAGAAAGCTCTACTTTAAAATCTGTCAAAACACCTATTTATGGTCTTCTTCTTTTGTCTGCCTTATTCCTCCGCAGCCAATTCCGTACTGGCTGTACAAACTGCACGGCCTAAATATGTACTACTCCTGCGAAATCTGCGGCAACGCCACCTACCGTGGGCCCAAAGCCTTCCAACGGCATTTCTCTGAATGGCGTCATGCGCATGGCATGCGCTGCCTCGGTATTCCCAACACCGCCCACTTTGCCCACGTGACCAAGATTGAGGATGCACTGGCGCTCTGGCAGAAAATTCGTTCCACCAAGGAGGCCGAACGCTGGCGACCCGAAGTGGAGGAGGAGATGGAGGACTACGCGGGCAACGTGGTCACCAAGAAGACCTACGAAGATCTGAAACGACAGGGTCTCCTCTGAGTTCCCGGTATTCCAACCCTC